TTTTCTATATTTGACGCAACTAAAAAGCAACAGCTCTGAACCCACACACACACACACACACACACACACACGCACACACAGAGTCTGGCCTAGTAGCTGTGGCTACTGAGGCTAATTATAGCCTTGCTTGCTTACATAATAGAGTGCAGCTGCACACACACGTACATACATGCGCACACACACACACTGGTGTCCATCACAGACTAGATTTGAGTAGCTGGACTTGCTGCTTCTTAAAATTGAAAGAAGAATAAAACGAACCACCGACTGATAAACATGACATACAGCACAAAAAAAAAACAACAACTAAAAAGAAATAAACAATAAAAACAACAACGATAAAATCACAGTCGTACGTATAGAAACATATCTAAATGATTAGTAAAGTGTAATCAGAATTAGCAAAAACGGTTTAGCAGTGGTTCTTCCACAAATAACTACAAGTTGGACTAAACCTAAAGTTAGGCAGAAATTAGTAGCAGAAATAGCTAAAAGTTAGCTACAGGATAAAAATCAGTCATTAAAGAAATGTATACGTTGGCAAACGAAGTTTACAGTTCATAAGAAAAGAAAAGAAGTAAATGTTACCCCAGAAACAGCTAGGTATTAGCTCAGGGACGAGGTGAAGTGGTGCTGGGTGTAGCTAATGGTTAGCCATAAAATAAGACTACACTAACATTAGCCTAAAGATGCTGTGTGGGCATGTTTGTGCCTCAGTGTGTCTGTGTGTGTGTGTGGGGGAGAGGGGGTTGTTTCAACGACATGAATGTAGTTAAACCAGCAGGTACAGCTCATTAAAGGCTCACAGTTTCTGAAGGTCATCATTAACCTGGATTCACAAACTGAACAACAGCTCTCCAGTCTCCAGTGAACAGAACCAGAACCAGAACCAGAACCAGAACATGAGATGTTTGTACAGTGTCAGGAAAAAGACAGGTCAGAACATCAGGACGGACTGGTCAGAACCCAACCATACTGGAGGAACAGGAGGGTCGACACAGTACCTTCAGAAAGGAACCATCAGTTCTGTCGAGGTAAAGGACTCGTCTTGGCTAACCTTTAGCTGTTCTGGCTATTTTTTTGCCCACTACTATTGCTATTATTTAATATTTTTGCTAAAAAAGCATTTGTGGTCAAGTTCTGTCAGGCTCAGGCTGAATGCCATGGATTATTCCCATCATTCCCTCTTCCCTGTGTCACATGTCACCCGCCCGTCTCCTCATGCTGATGTCACAGACTCTGCTCTGTCAGAATTCCTGATCATTCCAATCATCCTGTTTCAGAGGAATGTAGCTGACTGAGTGACTCGGAACGTCTGACAATTAAAACTGTCAGTGTGACAGAAAAATCACTCCTCCTCAGGAGAACACTCTGCTCCTCAGTGTGGACCCAAACTGAAAACATTCTGACCTTTAACCTCTGCTGCGTTTGTATGGCAGTTTTCATCTCTCTTCTTGGTTCAGGTTTAGCTGATATCTCAGTTATTGTTTTTTCAGAAATATAACTTAGCTTCATTTTAGCCGTTTTCTGTGCAGAGATTTCTTTGGTTTTCTCATGGCTATTTCCTAGCTAGTTTTTTTGTTTGTTTGTTACAAATCTGTAGCTGAATTTTTTAAGTTGATTTCTTTTCATTTTTTTAATGCAAATCTATTGAAGCTGTATGGTTTGGCAGTGGTTATATTCAAAACAGAATGTAAATATTTCTAGGCTAACCTTTAGCTTCTCTTGGGCAAGTTAAAGCATTTCTCAGTAACTTTAAATCCTTATCATACACTAATATATATATTATATATATATTAATATGTTCAGTACACCTGTTAATGCTATTTCAATTCATGTTCAACCTATGAGTAAATGACCTTTGGACTAAGGAACATTTTTTCTCCTTAAGCTTCACAGACTCAGATGGAATGTTAATACACAACTTTAGCTTTGTGTGTTTCTGCAGCAGCTCAGTGTGAAGGATTAGCTCAATCATTCAGACCAACAACATCACTGACACTCATGTCACGTACACGTCAACAACTCCTGTCTGTCGTCAAATTGATGAGGTCTTTTTTTTCTCTCCAATGGACGTTGGTGCCGTTTTAAAAATGTCGTTTTTTTTGTTAGTAAAACTTTGAAATTGTGAGAAATAAAGAGAGAAATAAACACAGTCCACAACCATTAAAATGTTCAGACCATGAATTCACTGTGACTTTGTTGAACGAGGTTCTCAGTCAGTCAAGAAACTGGGTCTGGATCCAGAAAATACTGAAACATTAGACAGTGTTCTCCACAGGAACTGTTTCCACTGCAGGGGGTTTGCAGTTCCATGAACTGTATAGGATTTCACTGTATGGACCAAAACACTTTTCCAAGGGCTGGAAACGGAACCTTTCAGTTAAAAATAGACATGATGTTGGTCCGAGAAATCTGTTATGTGACCCATGTGTGAGCCGTGATCCACAGATTGGTGATGACAGGGAGACGGTTTAATTTTGCAGTCTGTGTGTGTGTGTGTGTGTGTCTGACTCACCTCGTCCTCCCCCGTGTCCCCGGTGTCTACGTGGGCCATGTCCTCGGTGTCCGGTGCCTGTCCTCTCTCAGGTCCGCCGCTTCTCCTGCTATTGGTAACCCCAAGACCTTCACGCTCTCATCGTTTCTTCGTGGGTGTGAGTGTGTGTGTGTGTGTGTCTGACTCACCTCGTCCTCCCCCGTGTCCCCGGTGTCTACGTGGGCCATGTCCTCGGTGTCCGGTGCCTGTCCTCTCTCAGGTCCGCCGCTTCTCCTGCTATTGGTAACCCCAAGACCTTCACGCTCTCATCGTTTCTTCGTGGGTGTGAGTGTGTGTGTGTGTGTCTGACTGACCTCGTCCTCCCCCGTGTCTCCGGTGTCTACGTGGGCCATGTCCTCGGGGGCCGGTGCCTGTCCTGTCTCAGGTCCTCCGCTTCTCCTGCTATTGGTAACCCCAAGACCTTCACGCTCTCATCGTTTCTTCGTGGGTGTGAGTGTGTGTGTGTGTGTGTGTCTGACTCACCTCGTCCTCCCCCGTGTCTCCGGTGTCTACGTGGGCCATGTCCTCGGGGGCCGGTGCCTGTCCTGTCTCAGGTCCTCCGCTTCTCCTGCTATTGGTAACACAAAGGCCTTCACACTCTCCTCGTTTCTTCGTGGGTGTGAGTGTGTGTGTGTGTGTCTGACTGACCTCGCCCTCCCCCGTGTCTCCGGTGTCTACGTGGGCCATGTCCTCGGTGTCCGGTGCCTGTCCTCTCTCAGGTCCGCCGCTTCTCCTGCTATTGGTAACACAAAGGCCTTCACACTCTCCTCGTTTCTTCGTGGGTGTGAGTGTGTGTGTGTGTGTCTCTGACTGACCTCGTCCTCCCCCGTGTCTCCGGTGTCTACGTGGGCCATGTCCTCGGTGTCCGGTGCCTGTCCTCTCTCAGGTCCGCCGCTTCTCCTGCTATTGGTAACACAAAGACCTTCACACTCTCATCGTTTCTTCGTGGGTGTGAGTGTGTGTGTGTGTGTCGGTGAAGCTCGGTTCACATCGGTGACTTTGTGGCTAGGCTGGCCCACAGACTGCGGCTTTTTCGGCGTTTTCTTCTTCCGTGAGGAGGAAAAAGCGCCTACGTTTCACACACACCGACCAAAAAACACGCCCACTGTGGTACCGAGACCACGCCCATAATGAGAAAGAGACAGGGGGGGGGAAGAGAGAGAGAGAATGAGAAAGCGAGGGGATATGATGGAGTCATAGGACAGGGAGTAAGGTGACCAGGTCTCTCTTACCTCCCTCCCTCCCTCTCTCTCCCTCTCTCCCTCTCTCTCTCTCTCTCTCTCCGTCTCTCTCTCTGGGATGTCCTGCTCAGCATTTCAACATTAGTGCGTTGTTCCATCTTCAAACTGAGACGTTCAGAATGATCAGACCTAATGTTCCTTAAACACGTTTAAACCGGAGCTCTTCCTGTTCTGTTGCTCCGTTACGTGAGTAATTCAGTATCTTGCAGTACCAACAAAAATAGTTGGAGCGGTGTTGCACAGTATAGCTAATGTGCAGAAACCGGACACTGCTCCCCTAGTGGTTATACTGCATAACAACCATAGTGACCTAGAGGACGGACGAAAGGTTGGCGGTACCATGGCTGTGGCCTGATTTGAACTGGTGTACCACTCTGACCCAAGACTGTGTCCCCACCTTACTGACTGGGGCCTGGTCAGTCAGACAGTGGTGAAGGGAACAGGTAACCACAAACAGTACCAGGAACTGTCCAGCTCTAATCACTGGTTCCTGCAGTGAAAATCCCTGCTATTGACACTGGTTGCTGAAGAAAACTACTAACAGTTCCTAGTACTGTTACTGCGTGGGGAAAGTACATTGCGTTGTTTGTGGAACAAATGAATAAATGGAACAAATCTAAAACGTACCCGTTTTTAAAAACGCTACGTAAAAAATAAAAAACATTCATTTTGTCCGATGTACTGTTAATGTGGGTCTTTACAGGGCAACTGACATGGATACTAGAGAGGAGTGTTTGGCCCTCTGCTGGTCTGATAGTGACTGTTTTTTTTTTAAAGCAGTGCTTTGTTTTAATTAAAAGAAGATCTTGGGTTTTTTATTTGTCCTTTGAACTTATGCCTTTAATCATTGCACTTCTTTAAAAGTATCATTTATATATTTTTGTGTGAACTTATTAAACCTATTAATTCTTAGTTAATACAAACTTAATAAATACCATATTGAATCAAATATTTAAAATTCTCTATATATATATTTATAACTTTTTAGATCGAGTAAGTTATACCAGCAAAAATTAAATAATAAAATGGTAGTAACCTTGATTTACTACAGACATCTTTTTAAATGTAAATAAAAAACCTTGAATTGCAGTTTTACCCAGTAACATATACTACAGAACTTTTGTTCTATTTTAAGTGACTTGATGGTTTAAAAAGTCACAAAGACATGTTCTTTTAAACCAACACTTTAATTAAAACAACACCTTCTTGGTAAGAAGTAAACAAAAATAAAGACTTTTTTGTTCATCTGAATTACTTCAGTCATTAAACCGGTTTTTATCATTTTCTTACTGTAACAAAGTAAAAAAAAAAAAACATTTGTGTAAAAAACAGCAGCAGATTTTTTTTAATGCCCCCGTGATCAGATAATAAAAACACAATTTAAACTAAATAAAATAAATTAAATGATCATAAAAACTAAACAAAGTCCTGGGGTGACACCCCCCTGTAGTAAAGTGGTTCAGTCCAGGAGCCAATCAGAGTCCACCCCAGCAGCAGCTGTGGGGGAGAGAGAAGGGGGGAGTATCTGCCAAACCTGATTCATATTCAATTCTGTTGATAACAAAACAACAGCAGATGTAATAACAATACTGTACTGTTAAATTCTTTAAAAAAAAAAATTGTTTACAAAATAATGAGATGGAGGGAGAAAAAGATTTGAAAAGACTGCCTGAAAACATGAACATTTTACCTCACTTCCCCTCCTCCAATGTCTCCTCCTCTTCTCCCTCCTCCTCCTCCCTCTCCTCCTTCACCTGCTCCACCAGTCCCCCCTCCTCATGCAGAGCCCCCTCCCTCTGCTGGTTGTCAACATGCTGAGCCTCATCCTGCTCCTTCTCCTGCACTAGGGAGTTCAGGTAGGAGGCGCTCACCACCTCCTCTCCTTCTCCCAGCAGGTAGGTGTGTTTGAAGCGGTTGTACAGCATGGAGGCTTTGTCCATGATGGTACTGTTGGCTCGGTACCAGCGCATCTACAGACACACACACACACACACACAATTGTAGGAGATTCTTCAGTAATTTAATCAACATTAGTATCAGGTTTAATGAACAAAGAGAAACATTCCAACTCAGACTGCTTCAACAGCCACATTTTCCCACTGGCTGTAAAGTATTTGGCACTGACAACGTGTTCACATTGTGGTTTTGGCTTTAGCGTCAAGTGAAGAGATTTGGGACAAATCTTGGGTCGTGCTGTGTTCTGATTAAAACATTTATGATACATGAACATATACATTTGTAACTGTTAAACTGTTTATATCTATACACTCTTGTTTGTCATTTTCTGAGATGTCTTGGTACCTTCCTCAGCGTAGCCACGAGCTCGCTGTGTCTCTGCACATGCTGCGATGTCACATAAACGGCACTGAGCTGGTCCAGAGCTGCCAAACACTTCCTGGTGTCCTGGAAGACACAGAGACTGAGGATACGTGTACAGGAGTGTCAGAGGAACAGCGAGCTGCAGTTGTCCTCTGATGGACATCTTACCGGCTTGTCTGTCTTCAGAGAAATCCTGATGTCCCCGTGGAGTCTGTGAAGCATGGAGTCCGTTGTCGTTGTCGCCTGACTCTTCTGCTGTTTGGACTCAGTTACCAACTCGTCCAGTTGGTCGTCTCCATCCATTTCCAAATTTCCCGCTGCTTCTGTTGGGTTCTGGTCCTCGTCCTTCTCCGTACTCATCCTCTCTGTGACCTTGGACACCTTGTCTGGATTTTCGTTCTTTTCCTTTTTCTTTCGACCTCTTTTTTTTGGCACTTCTTCCACAGTTATTTCTTCTCCCGTCTTCTTCTGAGTCCTTTCATCTTCACTCCTCTTCCTCTTTTCATCCTCTTCCTCTGTTGCGTCCCTTTCTCTTTTCTTCTCCAATCTTGTTCTTTTTGATACATGCTCATCCTTTTCCACTCTTTTGTCCTCTTCCCACATGTCCTTGTCTTGAATGACTTCTGTCCCTGTACTTACTCTTTTAGTTCTAGGTCCGTCTCTCTGGGTTTTGCTTGTCCTCTTTACCTCAGGGTTCTTCTCTTTGTCTGTCTTCCCGTTTTCCTCTTCCACTGTGGTGTCCATATTGTCATCATCTACTTCCTGTCCTCTTTCTGTCCCCTTCCTTTCCTGCTCATCTGTCTTGTTCTCGTCCTTCTTCACATCCTCTGCTGTGTCCTCGTCGCTCTTTTCATCTGTGGATGTACTCTTAGGTTTTTGCCCGTCCTTGCTGATTGTCTCAGTTGTTTGATCCTCAGGTTTCCTCTCTTGGTCCAAAATCATTTCCACTGCTGTTCCTGCTTCACTGTGGTCGTTACTGTCCCCCGTTATTGTCACAGATGACTCCTCTTGACCGTCTGTGTTTTGCTTGTCCTTGCTGCTTTTTTCCTTCTCTTGATCTCCTTTCTCTGTTGGTTTGTTGTCCTCCACTGAGGTCCTCCCTCTTTCCAAAATGTGCTCCTCCTTGGAGTTTGTTTTATCCTCAGGTTTCTCCTCTACTTCCGTTTTCTCTTCCACTTTTGCGCTGTCGTCCTTGTTGACTTTTTCTGTCATTTTGTCTCGAGGAATCCTCTCCTCGTCCACCTTCTTTTCCAATACCTTTGTTGCACCCACGTCTTGTTTTTCTGGTTTAGGCCTGTCCTTGTTGCTTTTTTCTTTCTGAGTGTTTGCAGATCTTCCATCTTTCTCCATCTTTTCGTCTTCATTTATTGTGGTGTCCTTGTCTCCCTGGACATTTGTCCCTGATCTCAGTCCTCTGTAATTGCGGTCTTCCTTCGAGCTTTCTTCCTGTGTTCCATCTTTTTCTGGATTGTCTGGTGTCTGTCCACCTTTGCTGCTGTTTTCTGCTCTTTTATCTTCTGGCACCTTCTCGTGCTCCTGTAAATCCCTCTGTTCCGTTGCATCCTTGTCTTTCTCGTCCTGTTTGACAGTTTCTTCTCTTTCAGGATTCTGTTCATTCTTTAAACTTTGTTCCACTGTTTCCTGCCTTTCCATGTCACTTCCTTCTGTCCGGTCATCTTCCCTTGTCTCTTGTTTGTCCT